TTATAAGGCCATAAAAAAAGTAATAAGCCACCAATTCTCACCAATTCCACCTTCACAAACCTACTGCTTATAAACCACTAATCACAGCAATTATAGAAATTTTTAAGATCGCTTAATACTAAGAAAATCTCATCATAGTCCCTAATTTATTGTATCCAAATCATGGATAATGATTCCATTATATTAAAGCTTAGCTTTTCTACGCTAGCTCTACAGCTATCATGTGATCGATCTGTAATCCTACTGCTTTGTCTCTACGAGCTGTCCACGTGCCACGTGTCTCGTGGGGGGCCCATAGAGGTGGGGGCACGCTGCACGCCACAAGTTCCTTTGTGTGAACAGTTTTTTTTTTCCCTCGACAAATTCGATGCCGGACAGCGAGAGATGCGACGCGACTGCTCGGTGCGTTACCCCTCAGGAACAGCGTTTTCATGAGGGGTCAGTTGACGGAGTCAGTGGGGGAGCCGTTAGGTGCGCGGGAAAGGGTTGATTTGGTCGTGGGGGGGAGTCACGTGACTCACGTGAGAGATAGATGGAAATGAACCAAATAATTAATAAATAATTTGATAATTGTTCGAATAACTATTCGGTCATATTCGATTTGATAGTTCATTTATCATTAAACGAATATTTTTTAGTATTCGAGTTTACTAATGAATAGAATTTACCAGATGCATATTCGATTCGTTTGTCTATTAAATATTCGTTTAAAATTTGATCATAACTCATTATTTGTATTATTGCACATATGATGTCATATTTTTTATCCACTTACCATTTCTACTAAAGTTTTATATAATGTTTTTAAGACTTAAATAATCTTAAATCTGTTTTCTAATTATAATTTTAATTTAAGTATATATACATCATATATTATAAAGGAATAATTTTATTTATGAATTATAATACTATTTGAAAATCAAATTCTTTAGCGGAATAAATATACTTTGATATTCGATAAGTATTCATGAATATTTATCAAATACCAAGTATTGGAGTTCGATTTCAAAAAAGGTAGATATATGAATATTAGAGTCTGTATTCGAATTCGATAATTTTAAACAAATAAAAATATGAATACCTTAGTATTCGATTCGATTCGATCGTTTACCAACCCTGGGCATTGCGAACGATAGTTAGGCGTCTGATAGAGAGACCATTTGCTTAACGTAGAGAAGGTTAATTAACATATTGATTGAAAATATTGTGAGATTTTTCATAAGAGTGATGTAAAAATAGTGATAAAGTTCGGGGGTGTTGTATAAAGTTCAAGGCTATTAAGTGAGACTTGCCATACGCCAAAATTTAGAGGACTAAATTGCAAAACAAAGTTCGGGGGTTATATATGTTGGAATCATGACATACAACGCAGCGGAAAAAGCATATCATGACTATTAATCAAAATTAATTAAATATTAGAAGAATACCTGAAACGCTTTCCGAATTTCTACAATAATCTGTCCCTAGATCAATCCAAAATAGCTTCCTCAAGAGAAAAAGCCTCCAATTGAAATCCACTCGTCACCGTAGAGGAGCAATACTGAGAGATAGGTTCTCAAAAATCTATTTCTTCATATTATCTTCATAAGATTTTGAATCTCTTCTCTTGACCCCT